CCGCTTGAACCCCCTTGTCAGGGGGGTCTCTGAGCGGCTTACAATTCGGTGCTAGTCACCATTTTACTTCCCTGACTAAGGCCACATATTTTGTATGGGGTGGGGAGACCTACCGGCACCCCTATGGTGGTGGTTGGTAGTTGGTGGTGTTCTTCTCTTCTTTCCTGTTGGCTCAGGCGGTTTCTCAGGCGGGACGCTCTCCTCGGTGCCTGGCGGCAACCTCCCTCTCTCAAGGCACGCGACTTCCCGCCTCCTTCCGGTTTCAGCTGCGTCCTTTTCCGGCTCCGCTGTACCGGCGCTTGGCGTCATCGCGGCCCTCTCCCGACAGCGGTTACTCAATGTTCCGTCCTCTAGCCACCAGGGATCGCTCCTCTGGTTGCGCCCGCTCGCCGCCGCCACTGCCACCTCCACGCCATCCAAGCCGGAGCTGATATCGCTGCCGCCGCCATCGCCATCGCCGTCGCCATCTGTCTTCAACCACCACACAGGCATGGTGCCCCCCACCCTACTAAGGGTGGGTACCCATTTATCTACTTGCAATTAAGTTGCTTTCGAACCGCTGGGTGGGCGGGAGCTGGGACAAGGGTCGAGAGCTCACCTCGACCGCGGTGGTACTCGAACCGCCATAGGGCTGCTCGTATGATGTTACTGAAGCAGGCATTTAACTGCCTGCGCCACCGCTCCCTTCGTTAGTTGTAATGACCCAGCGATCTGCAGCTGCATTATCAGAATGGGCTGTGCCAGCTGCTTAATCCACTCATGTCATAAGTCCTTTTGTTTTACAATGGAGAGTACGTGCAGCATCTGCAAAGTTGGGGGGGGGAGGCACCTGCATGCTGGAGGAGAAGTCCTTCTATGGAGTCCTTGCTGGAACACTCAGGCTTTCTGTGTAAAGCATGGCTTCTTCATAGGGAACTGCTGCTGGCTGTTGCGTGCTCAGGGAGGTTGGTTTGCCTCCTGCAGGGATGCCGGGGTGAAAGGCATCGGGTATGTCCATGGGTCCATGTCTGGCTGGCACACTGCTTCAGGGTGAGGCTTCCCTCGGCTGGGTACATGTCAACAGTTTGGGAGGTTGGCACCATCATCGGGCTACCGCACAGTCTAATCCCTGGCACACTTATTATACAGTCAAGCTTAAAGTTATAGTCCATAGCCTTATAGATGCTGCACAAGGTTCTTGCAGGGCAACAGTAGGACAGTATAGAGTATCTACTCTTTCAGAAAAATACTGAGGAGTGACAACAATAGATTGGTGCAAGCCAGATTGGTCCATGGCATAATACCTGCCATGTAAAACTTTAGGAGTTAGAGGAGGCATATGCAGGGCTCTAGTCGGGGGGGAGCTCTCAGGTACGGGGCGGGGCGGTCACGTGGTGAAGCCCCGCCCCCTTCTTTACCCCGCCCTCTGCTTCGATCCTCATTCCGTTTGGGAATGAGGATGAAGCAGGAGGGTAAGTAGCCGGGCCTTCTGACACACTTCCGGTGATGTCAGGGGGTGTGGCCTTCTGTCACTTCCGGTGATGTCAGGGGGCGTGGCATATGCAAATAAGTTATGCTAATGAGTTATGCTAATGAGCTCCGGCAGCTCTTTTTCTACAACAAGACCCCTGGGCATATGTGTAATAAATAAACATTAGTATACCATCAGTCAGTGGACAAAGGATCACTAGATAAAATGATATTTAAGACTTCTAATTTAGTCTATGCTTTTTTCAAAAATCATGTTAAAATTTGTCTCTTCTAGTCTTTCATCAGAAAATTATACAGATGCATCTCAGAAGTGCAGGACATTGCCATATTCACGCAAGTTTTTATAATAAATGTTTGCAGATAAATGTATATATTTGGCATAGCCTTTATAGTCATGATACATTTCCGGTAGTACACTCTGTGCTGGACAAGTTATTCCCTGTGTATGCTGTGTTCCAAAGACAAAGAAAACAGCCCTAACATAAACATTCTTAGCAGTGGGTGTTGCTGAGATGCCTCTTTACATGGTATGAAAATGGTCACTAATCTACTAGCCATGTGTCGTTTGTCAACTTTAAAAATAAATTGTTAGTTTAAATGCAAGGGAACTTCAATTTCTGTAGATATAGAAACAAAAAAGCCTCCACTCCACTAAGCGTGGTGTGCGCAGGGGACGCTCTGGAACGTCGCCGCCGCCGCCGCCGCCGGGGGGTGGGGGGAGAGAGAGAGTGCGAGGTGCCTCGGAGACGGTGAGGGGGGAGAGAGAGCCGGAAAGAGACGGAGCCGAGGCTAGAAGCCGCACTGCCCTCGGGTCGGAGCCGGTGGGGGTGAGGGCAAAAGAGAGAGAGAGAGTGGGGGGCGGAAACAGAGAGAGAGACAGAGAGAGAGAGAGTGGCGAAGGGGGGCGAAAGAGAGAGAGAGAGTGGCGAGAGTGGGGGGGTGGAA